AAATTGGCTTGGGGGTGGGGGGTGCATGGAGAGGACAACAAGGAGGCCAGAAGTGACCCAAGGTCCTCAGGACACATGAAGTGTCCTAAAGCAGCACAAGCATTCCGTGGGCCTAGGTGGGGTTAAAGTAAAGAAATAAAGCAATAAAATGAGCAGCAGCCTTTGTCTAGTCCCATCTCGTTTCCTCTGTTGCGGCTTCTTGTAACCAGGAGCCCTGGGACCTTCAGGAGCCCCACCTCAGCTGCAATTCACAGGGAGGGCGGTGGCCATGACTCACAGTTGCCCAAAGCACAGCGAGCAGGGCCACGTCTGCCTTCCTGGGGAGACCCTCCTCCTTACTCCCTTCCTGCCTTCCCACCCTCTTCCCCTCCCAAGCAAGGACTAAATGAATTCAGACAACAGCAGCCTGGAGAGATGGAGCCACTATCAGCACACTGGTCACCCAGAGTGACAGGAGGACATGGAGGGAGGGGGATCTGGGGTAGGACGTTTTGCATCCTCCCAGAACTTCCTCAGCCTCCTGGATGGCCTCTAATGGCCTGGAAAGGAGGAGCAAATGGGGAGATGGGGCAGGGCTGCTAGGAACACAAAAACCCACGCAGTCATCCAGCCCAGGATTTTCAAACTTTACTTTGACTACAGAACATTTTTTTTTTTTTAATACCGAGGGGTAGCCAGTAGAGCTCCTCTGCTGAGAGCTTGGCCTGCCCGCAGCCTTGCTGACTCTTTTGACCTCTTTCTTGTTGCCATCAGCCTCAAAATCTTGGAACACAGTTTGGTAATTGCTAGTGCAATTCATCCATTTCACAGATGGGGAACAGATCCCAAGAGGGGAGAAGGTCTGTTGCCTACAGACTTACGTGACTTGGGGATTGGGTGGAGCCTATAATCCAGTGCATTCTCCCAGGAACATGCAGGGACGACTATAAGAGGAGACCGCCTCGCGTGTCTCAGGCAGGGATACACACTGAGGAGAGGGCTACACGGGCGAAGCAGAGGAAGATGGAGGCTGGTGTTAAGTCCACAACCTGAGGCTCTCAGCTCTTACAACATGGCAGCCAACCTGCAAGACAGGCAGAAAAGGAAAAATACATCCATCTTCTGTCTTCTTCCTGTGGCCACAAATCTAGCTCCTGACCATGGGAATAACCACCCCTCTATTCCCACCCCAGACTCTGCCCTCTGCCCCACCTTCCTGCCCTAGAGAAGGGCAGCCTCAGCCCTTTAACACATGGGCCTTCTCAGACCCTAGAATACAAGCCCTTGGACTCTCCCCCTTCCTGCTTTCCCAGCCTCCTCCTGCCCCAGGGAGGGTGAGGCCATGTTTTTCTACACTACTGGGTAATAGTTTGTGTTCTGAGGTCATGAATGTCCCCAGGGCTCCAGCTTGCCCTGACTACCGTGAGGCCTAGCAGGATTGTGTGCAACAAGTTCCCTGTCCTGCCCCGACTCCTGGGTTTTTCTGGAGAGGCAGGTCATGGCTTTTGTGATATCCTCAAGTGGGTCTGTGGTCCAAAAACAGGTTAAGAAACACTGCATGAGGGGAGGAGAGTGGGGAGGGCACACAGGGTAAGGGAGGAGGTGGGGGGAGGTATATTAGTGATTCTCTTCCCAGTGGGGGAACATGTGTTGTTACTGGGTTTTTTTTCCTCTCACCTACCTGTGATGCTGGGTCACTGTCCCCATTTAACAGATGAGGAAGCTGAGGCTGGTGACATTAGTTCACTTGCCCAGGATGCATCCTGGCTGAGGGATTGGACAAGCCAGGGCAGAGACAGGTCCAAGGCAGTGTTGCACGTGGTTCTACAGAGGAGAGGCCCTCAGCTCTTACAACATGGCAACCAGCACTTCAGAACCCCCGCCTGCATCCATGCCAAGCCTTGAGCCCCCAGATCTGGGTCCTCAGTAAATTATTTCAGGAGCCAGAGGACATAGTGCAGGTCATGGGGGCTGGCCTCTGAGCTTCATTCCTGCTGAATAGAAAACAGAGACCCCAAGACTGGCCCCTTGGTGTCCTCAGTTAAGCTTGAAACCCACTCCTTTCTAACAGGAGGAGGAAACAAAGTGCCCGTAACCATCGCAGGTAGGACCTGGCTGGAGCGTGGCTCAGCAAGGCTCCCAACAGAGGCAGAGGACATGGCACCCCTGCCCTTCCAGGTCCATCCAGCCAAGACCCTGTCTTACTTTGCTCTTAGAAATGTCTACCACCATACCACAGGACAACATCCCTGCCATCCAGTCTACCTCTTGCCCAGCCCTCCACAGGGGTAGATAAGGCAGAGCAATCCTTCAAAAATAGGCCCACCCCCCCACCATTCCTGAAAATTTTTTAACATATTTATTACATGTGATTTTTTTTCTTTCATTGTTATTGAGATATAATTGAGATACAGCACTGTAAAGTTTAAGGTAGACAGCATAATGGCTTAACATATGTTGTGAAACGATTACCACAGTAAGTTCAGTTAACATCCATCACTTTATATAATTAGAAGAAAAGAAAATAGAAAAAATGGTTTTTTGCTTGTGATGAGCACTTTTAGGATGTTAAGGAACAAAATTCATTTGAGTAAACTTGAAGATCTAATTGGCTTTATTAAGCAATTCATGAATTGGGCAGCACCTCATCTTGTAAATAAAAAGGTACTTTGATGAGTTGTACAAAATGGAAGGTTTTTATAAGCAGAAAGGGAGGAACTAAGAAGTTTAAAAAGTGGATTATTTCAGGTAAGTTCTTTCCTTGGGGAAGGTGGGGTTCTTATCAAGCATGTCACCTCACTAGTGCTGACCAGAAAATTCCAGGCTGAGTGGTTTAAAATTCCACTCCTTGGAGAGAGGCTGGAATTGCGATTAGATTAGTTATCAAGTTTTTGTTTGGTGATGTGGCTTAGCAAAAGTGACTCCATTTTGGCCTGTTTTTTAACAAGAACCTACTCTCTTAACAACTTTCAAATATGCCATACAGCAGTGTTAATTGTAGTCATCAGTTGGCACATTCCATTCCAGCAATTCTTTTTTTTTTTTTATAAGATTGTATTGGGTAATTGGGGGATGGGAACAGCACTGGGGAATTGGGGGAAGGGGAACAGACAAGTTGCTGTCGTTTTGTTCTTCAGTCCTAGTTGTGGAGGACGTTGCTTTACTGGCCCAAGTTGGCACCATCATTGCGCTCTTCCCAGGCGAGGCAGATCAGTCGCCGGCTTCTGGACGGCCGCTTACGGCGGCTGCCGGCTACACACGGTAGCCCATGTGTGTAAGCCCATGGCAACCCACTGCAGCAGGGGCTGCAGCCTACGCTGTCGCAGGTGACTCACAGCAGCCCAGCTCCAGGTTGAGCTGTTGTTCAGCATCTTAGCTGTAGAGGGCAGTGTCACTGGCCCTCATATGTGGGATCTGAACCGGGGCCCTCTGGCGTCCCAAGCAAGCTCTTAACTAACGCGCCACTTGGCCAGCCCCCATTCCAGCAATTCTGACAGTTAAAGAAGTCAGCCGCTCTAGGCCTTAATTTCTTCATGTGTAAATTGGGAATAATGATGCCCAGCCTACTTGCCTTACAGGGATTTCTAAGAATCACATGGGGAAAAGGCATTTTTAAAAGTTCAAGATATCTCACTGAAATGACAGCAAACTGCTGCTGGGACTTACCCATCACCCACACACATCCTGTCCCCAGGTCACTGGACCCTGGCAGCCTGGGTGGGGAGCCTCCTTCTCTGGGCTTGTGCTGAGGCAGCTCCACATGTGGCTTGGGGGCCTGGGGAGCTTAGGGTGAGGGCAGACAAAGTGGGTGGTGCCTGCTTTCCCTGCCCACCCTCAGTGGCCCCCTTGGTCCTCAGGGTAGAGTGGGGGCAATCCCTGGGGTGAGAATGTCGTCATTGCCTGGTTTGTGCAAGGTACCAAACTAGGAGCAGGAACCACAGCTCCCACCCAAGGACAACAGAATTTGGGGAGAGGAGTTTGAGAAAAGACAGAAGGTATACCCTTGCTTTTTCACCTATAAAGGGCATAAAGTTTAGTACAACACTCTAGGGTAGAAAACCATGTTTCTTTACTTCTGTAAAGCAATTTACTCTATTTTAAGCTCCCGCCAGCTTGGCTGGTAGAAAATTCAACTTAGTCGTGTTTGAGCCACCAGCCCTTTCCTTGGGGTTGTGCAAGAATCTTGGGGTCCTACACAACCCAGAACATTTGGAGCAGGGTCCTTGGGTCCTAATCCACACTGGTCACTACTCTTGGCCAAGCCCCTAAAATCCCTTGCTGGTGGGCAGAGGTCTCTGCAGGGGCTCTCAGCCTGGGCTCTTAGTGTAAGGACCTCTCAAACCCTTGTCCTGCCTCAGGCTTAGGGCACCTCTGTCCCAATGGTTTCTGCCGCTCTTCCTGCCCAATGCAGTGTGCCTTGCACCAGGCTCCCTCCCCTCCCAATAGGAGGACCCACATGATACCCTTTCTTTGGGAGCCCTAGTGGGGTTTTCTCCTGGTGCCTGGCAGCTTCTGCCATCAACCCCACAACTCAGAAACACCCCAACACAAAGGGACACTAAGGTTGGATCAGAGGAGCAGTAAAAATGACTTCAGGAGCAAGAAGAAAACAAATATCAATGCATGGTCCTGTCACAGCCGGGGAATTTACTGTACATGCCGTTTTGAAAGTTTGCCCCAGATGGAGAAGCAGCCATGAGTGCCACACCTGGCCAGCTGTCACTGGCTTCATTCTTGGGGAATTTGAGAGGCGATGGCTGGGGGGCTATTGTGGGAGAGGGCCATAAACTGGGCAGGCCAGCTCTGCAGGAGCTGGCCTGGCCCCCTGGGGGGAAGTTCTGTAGATACTGCCTTGCAGGTTGGGAAGCCTCTTTGAAGGGGGAGAGGGGGTCCCCTCCCTTGCCAGGGCTTTGCTATGGGAGAGGCTGAGCTGCCACCAGGGGGCTGCTCTGGGCATTTGGGTGGGACTGGTGGGTGGGGCGGGACTGCCCCTGACCTCTGGGCACCCTTTACTCTTGCAGGACCTAGGCATGGAGTCGACCTCGCTGGATGACGTTCTGTACCGCTATGCCAGCTTCCGGAACCTGGTGGACCCCATCACACACGATCTCATCATCAGCCTGGCCCGCTACATCCACTGTCCCAAGCCGGTAGGGAGGCTGTGGTCCAAGCCAGCCAGGTCTAGGGGTGTGAGGCAGGCCCCTTTCTGAGCAGAGCAGCTCAGTGCCCAAGGAGGATGGGCCTCCACACAGGCACCAAGAGGGCAGGCCTGTGATGCCCACCTATCCTGAGGCCCAGCATCCATGGCAGAGGCTGCCCGTTGGCACCATCAGCACAGGTCTTGTTTGGCCCATGCGGAGTTTTAAATCTGGATTCATTAAAAAATCAGAATATTTCACACAATCCCTATATTCAGCTGCCCTGAAAAAATGGAGCGCTAGCAACATGAAGCCCTCATTTCTATGTGGCTCCTGTTCTATGGAGCCAGGGCCACCACGTACAGTTATGTAGCTTGTGCCCTGCACAAAGACATACAAACACAGAGATGGCCGGGGTTGGGGGAGACAGGAGACAGTTCAAATCCAGCTCTCTTTGACCACTAAGCCACGGGCACTGGTGCAAGATTGTGTCCACCTAGATGCGAGCTTTTTCTTCTTTGCACAGAGGTACCATATAAGTCTAGCAATGGCCCTGCATGGCGCTCTCCGGTTTGCCTGTCCCCGCCACTCCCAGTTGTCTTCTCTCTGAGGCTGAGTGTTATTGTATACCCACCCACTTGCCTCGTGTCCACTGCCTGCCTGGCTTCAGGAGCTGAGCAGGAAAAGCTCCAGGGCTGTCTGGGCTTCACGGGCTCTGCTCAGCCCCTGCCAGATGGGAGGGTCTGCCCCTCTGCCTGTTGGCTCCAGGGCCCAGGCTGGCTTACCCAGACCTGCCCATCAGGACCCGGGCAGGGAAGGGGAGGGCCACAGGTGGGGCAGCTCCATGCTTGAGCTTTTCTCTATGTTGTTTTGGTTCCTTCTCTTCCACCCCTCATTTTCCAGCCCAAAAGAAGTGCTTCCTCTGTGTCAGGGGCAGGAAGCCAGAGCAGGTCCAAGAAGTGCTGGGAGGCCACTTCCTGTTTCAGAGCGGGATCTGGGATAAGAGTGAGGAGACGGTTCCCAGCCCACCCCTCGTTCGGCCTGAGTGCGGACTTGAACATGGTCACCCAGGGGGCTGGAACCTTACTTGGGGCTGACCTGCCATCTGGGGCTTTGTCTAGGTCTTCTCTCCAGCTTCTGGGACTATTTGGTGCCAAGACTTGGAGGTTGGGGGCTAGCGATGGAGGGCTGGGAGAAGGTTGGGAGCAGGTGTGGGGGGATGCAGCAGAAGGCAGGAATGCTGGGCTCAAGTATGTGAAGGTAAGAAAAAGCCTGTGACGAGGACTGGTGGACTGGGAGCCTCAAGGCCTAGGGAAGAGAAGCTGCTGCCAGGAGCCACGGGAACTGGCTCTACTCGTTCAGATGATGCCTGGCTCAGCGTGGGGGAGCTGAGACCAGGCCTGTAGGAGGCTCTGCAGGTGCCAGACCCCTGCCTTTTCTAGAGCATGGATCTAGTTACCCACAGGTGAGAAGGGTGACAGGCTCTAGGCCACTCAAAGCAGCTCAGTAGGAGAGATGTTACCTTTATGCCCAGTTTAGTGTTGAAGAAGGTGAAGTTCAGGTAATGAAGTGATCTGAGAAAGGCCACACCCCAGGTGAGAACCCCAGCGGGGAGTTGGGCCCTGGTGCTAGGCAGAGATCAGGGTGCTCAGATGCTGAGTCTCTGGGCTGTCAGTGCTCACTCTGGGTGCACATGGCTGCGACCAATCCAGGGGGAGCAGGGGCCTGTGGGGAGTAGCTGAGCACCCCTCCTCCCTTCATACAGGAAGAGCCTGCAGGTGGTTAACTGCGCATGTCAGGCCCCAGAAACAGGACAGGCCTAAGAAGGAGGGGTGGCCAAGGGTCCAGCACTGTGATCTGTTCCTTCCATCTGGGTGGGGACAAGAGGAGTCATACCTGGGTTGTCTTACCTCAGGCTGCTATAACAAATTACCATTGACTGGGTAGCTTATAAACAGAAATTGATTACTCACGGGAAGCTGGAAGTCCAAGATCAGGGTGTCAGCATGGTCAGGTTCCTGGTGAGAGCCCTCTTCTTGGTTTGCAGACAGCTGCCTTCTTGCTCTGTCCTCACGTGGCAGAAAGGAAGGGAGCTAACTCTCTGGTCTCTTCTTATAACTCTCATAACCTCAGTTTATCCTGATTACCTCCCAAAGGCCCTACGTCCAAACACCATCACATTGAGATTGGGGTTCAACATATGAATTGAGGGGACATAAACATTCTGTCCATTGCATGGGTGTAACTTTTCTCAGATCACTTAATTAGCTGAACCTCATTTTCCTCAACGAAGGTGGGCCCAACAATACTCTCTCCTGTAGGGCTGTTCAGTGACATGATTCTCGAAGCACTGGTGTGTACCTGGCACAGCTAAGTGCTCCATGAGCAGAAGCTGAGGTGTAACTAATCAGTGAGCATCGACCACACTGCAAGCAGGGTTCTCAGACCTAGCAGGCCAATTGTGGGACATGGTGGCAAGTAAGACATGACTGTAGAGCCCAGCCCTTGTGGGCTCAGAGTCTTGGAAATTACCAGGTTGGCCTCCCACCCAGATTTCCAGAGCCAGCCAGAGTGGGGTTAACCCCGGGGCCTGGCCAGTCCTGGCCATGTCCTCCTCCAGGGCTACTGGGACAGCCTCTGGGCCTCCTCCCTATGCTCTGGGAGCAGCCAGACAGCCATTATAAAGGTAAATTGGATCACATATCTACTTGCTAAAAAAGATTCCATGCAGCGTTGTGTTGTAATTTAAATAACTCCGTACCTGGCCTTGCCGGAACCTCCAACTCATCTCATTTTTCTCACTCTCCACCCTGTGACTCTGCTCTAGCCACATGGGCCTCCTCTGTTCCTGGGGCATCCATATCCTTTCCTACCTTAGGGATTTGGCTGTCATGCCTGGCCACACCTGTCTCCTCTGTCTGAGGTTCCCTCTCCTCCAGACTCAGACTGAATATCACCTCTTAGAGGCCTTCTTTGATCAGCCTACCTTACATTGGTCTCCCAATCAGCCTCTATCTCAGGCCCTGTTTATTTCTTCATTTCACTCACTGGTCTCCAAAATTACCTTGCTTATTTATTTGTTGGCTAACGTATTGTCTGCTTCCACATTGGAATATAAACTCCAGTGGGATAACATACAGCATCTGCCCTGTTCACAGTTACATCCTACACCAGGTAGGGCCCTGCCAGGAAGCGGGAGACCCTTTCCATTGTGAATTTTTAAGAGAGTTTATTAAGGGGCTATTTCCAGGGCTGTCCGCAGGATCAAGGAAGTGAACAGCTGACACTGAGACCCCCAAAATCTAGTAGCACAGGAAGTCGTTACCATGGAAGGGGCTGCAGGTGGAGGCTGTGTTGCTGGAGCCAGAATGGGAATGCCTTCCAGAACCGTGCTGTATTTTCTGTTGCTGCCTAACAAGTCTCCCCAAAGCTTAAGGGCTTAAAACAACACACATTTATTGCTGTACAGCCTCTAGGGCAGGAATTCTGGAGCAGCTTAGCTAGGTAGTTCTAGCGTAGGGTCTCTCAAAGCACTGGCCAAGGCTGCATGTATCTGAATGCTTGAGAGAGCGTGGCAGGCCCACTTCCAGGACGGCACATTGCATGGTCATTGGCAGGAGGCCTCAGTTTCTTCCCACATGGACTTCTCCATAGGACTGCTTGAGTGTCCTTACATCATAGCAGCTGGCTCCTCCCAGAGCGGGTGATCCAAGAGAAAGCAAGGCAGAAACCACAATATCTTTTATGACCTAGTCTCAGAAGTAACATACCATCACTGCTGCCATGTCCTACTGTTGGCCCGAATCAACCCCGAGATAGTACAGGAGACTATATGGGAGCACATGTACCAGGAGGCCAGGATCGTGGAGGCTTTTTTGGAAGCTGACTGCCACACAAGTTAAAGCAGGAAGAGAATGAGAAAAAATAAGTCCCTTGACCTTTTTCTCTTCCTGCCTTCCGACTCTCCCAATTGCTCCCATTAGCTTAACCTAAATGGGAACCAGGGGCAAAAGGGCTGCGTGTGTGACGCCGTCTGTGGAGCTCAGCCTTCAGAGCATAGAAAAGGGCAGAGAATGGACTGAGAAGAGAGAGTCAACAGAAAACACAGCACACAGTCTGCAGTGCAGAGTAGGCCAGGCAGTCGGTATTTGATGAATGAATGAATTTATGAATGAATGAGGGGAGCCTTTAGGTATACAGCAGTGGAAGGCATTGCTTGTTTGGGTCCTGGGGTCAGCAAACAAATGTGCCTGGGGAAGTGAAGATGGCAGGTGGGTGTCGCTGTCTGACAGTTGAGGTGGAGCAGTGTCCCTATAGCAGGACCCCTCCTGGAGGGGAGTGCAGGTCTGCCTTGAGCATCTTTCCTGACAGGTCAGTGAGAGTCCCTCAGATTTTTCTCCAGGGCCCCCAGCATTGGGCGGTTCCTGAGAGGCTGCTGCCCCGATCCACGCTCCACCCTGCAGTGCAGTGCTAGTCACTGCTTGCCCCTCTCCTGCCTTCTCCTTCCTCTCCCACACGTGGGAGAAAGAGCTACAGAATTGATTCCGAAAACTGCCTTTGAGCCTCCATTGTGGGTGAGGACTCTGCTGCAAGTACCAGAATCCCACTCGAGCTGCCTCAAGCTATTGTAGAAAGAGAATTTATTCTGATACTGAGGGGTCTTGGGCCCAAAGGCAACCAAGCTTGAAAGAGGGACTAGAACCACAGACAAACTGCAAACATCTCCCCTCTGCTACCTCTCCCACCCTACCCTACCCCATACCACACTCTCCACTCCCTCTTTCCCAGGCCTCAGGGCAGGAAATAGAGCTGAGGTGGCTTCCCAATTACAGGTTAGTGTCCGGTCCTGAGGAGTCAGAGTGTGTCTCTGTCTTGTCATGATTCCCAGGAAAGGGGAGATTGGCTGCACTCTGCCAGTGCCCACTTCTGGACCAATCAGCTGTAGCTTGGGAGTGGGGTCTGGTTGCACAAAAGGGCTGCTGGACTGCAGCATTTTCAGAAGGTCCCAGAGGGCAGCAGATGATGGATCAGAGTGTTGAGTGCAGTGCCTATGGATGCGATGCCTGTTGTCAGAGCTCCCCAGCCAGGGTTGCACAGGGGGCACGCAGGATTGCACAAGTAGCTGCTCTGTACCTGGGAGGCAGCTGTTTCTTAATGCTGAAACCACACAGAAAGAGCACTTCCTCCTACTCCTTTCCCTACCTTCTCTTCTTACTCCATCTCTGGGCCTGGCCTGCTTTGTCCTGTTCTCCACAGGAGGGTGCCCTGGAAGGGGCTTCAAAAAGTGATGGAGCTGAGAAAACATTGGATGGGCCTGCTTATGGCTATTCTGTGTGCAATTGATAGACATGCCTTGAACTAACCTAAGCGAAAGATTATCGCCAGGAGGGCAGAGCAGAACGCAGGCCCGGATGGCAGCTTGGGAGCACCAGCCTCAGAGCCTGCTGAGGTTTGGATCCTGATTCCATCTTACACGTTGTGTGGCTTGCCAATCTACTCAACCTCTTTATGTCCTGGTTCTCTCGTTTGTAAAGTGGGAATAACAGTAGCCCCTGTTTCATAGGATTGTTGTGAGTTCATGCATGCAATGCAGAGACAATACCTAACATGTACGAGTATAGTAGATGCTTGAGAAGTGTTAGCTGTTGTTTACTTAGTCCAGACAAGCGAAGGGGAGCTCTCGCTTCTGTGAAGACACTAGTTCACGTTTAGTCTCAAATCAACTATGTCAAGTGACAACATCTATTGTCCCGGTTTAATGGAAGAGGAAACAGGCTCCTGGCATCTCCTGGGTGCAGCGGGGCAGCAGTGCCGCGTCAGCCCTGTGCCTGGCCCTGCGCACGGCTGCCCCCTGGTGGCAGTGCCGGCACACTGCGGCAGCTGCTCTGCCTCTTCCTCTTGTTTCTTCCTTTAAGGCCCAAATGTCCAGGCCTAGAAGATGGAGGGAGAGCCTGTGGTTCCTGATTTTAGAAACCCTGGGAATTGGCTGGATGAGGAGCTGAAGCTGAGAAACTCAGTTTTCAGCTTTGGAGCAGGTGCTGTGGGAGAATGGCAACATTCTCTCCTGGGGTGGTCCCAGGAGAGATGCTGGGCATACCACCAGATCCCACCCACTGGTCCTTCTTGTCTTTAATGTGTATGAACCATTGCTTCTCCACCGTGGCAGCACAGGGGTATCACCTGGGGAGCTTTTAAAAACCCGCACCCGAACTGCCCACCCATTAGTGGAGTCATCCAGGCAGCAGTGTTTTCTAAAGCTTTCCGGTGATCCCAGTATGGGAGAGTCCCAGGTGAAGAACTGCGGCTCTAGATCACCATATCCATTGTCACCTCCCATTCTCCCTTCGGCCTCCAGACTTGGCCTTCACCTTGGCCCCTACCATGACCGCCCCTCCTGAAGCCTGTGCTGAACAAGCCCTCCTCAGTGGAGTCCCACCCACCCGCCTTGTCCTTGGTGTCCATGGCTCCACTTACTTCTGCTTCTCTGTCCCTTCATGTCCAATATGTCTGTGCCCCGTTGAGGTTACAGCTGTTCCTCCCTGCTCATTTCCTGGCCAGACGCTTTAATCAGATGCCAATGAACATGTCCAGCTTGGACCTGTTTTGAGCACCAGCCCCATAAATCTAATCGGATCTCCCAGCTGGAGGCCCCACAGGCCCCTCAAACTCCACATGGCCCCACATGAGCTGGTCATCACCCCTGTCCTGCCTTTTCACCCGCTTTTTCAGAGCCTCTTGCCTTCTACCTAGGTCCCAAGCCGAAAGCCGAGATCCCGCCTCATCCCGTCCCTCCCCATACCCTCTCCATCCTGTGCATTGTCAGTCAAGTGTGGTGGCCTCAGTCACTTTCGGCCCTTTCCATTGGTCTGGTGGGAATGCCCCAAACCACACATAAGTAGATGGGCCTGGCCCTGAGTCACCCTCTCTGCCTCCAGTCCACCCCTTTCTCCATCTCCCAGAGGGTGGTCTTAAAATGTACATGTGACTGTGCTGCTCCCCTTCCAGGGGTTCCCCTGCAGCCCCACAATGGAGCCCCTGCCTGCTTCACCATCCATTATTTCCCATCACATACACCATATGTCCAGGCTTAGCAAGAAATGAAGCCTAGGAATCAGGACATGTCAACTCGAGGGGTTGTAAATGCAGTTGCCCGGAGTGGCAGGTGACATTCGCTTCTCTCTCAGGCAGGCTTAGGCAATAGGAAGCAGTGAGGCTCTTGGAGAACTAGAGACCAGAGGTTTCCTCTTCCAGTCAGTCTTGGGCCTTCCTCAGTCTGCTGGATCCCTGTGCAGATATTCACCTCTTTGGACACTCAACTCCTTTCTTCCTACTTCCTGTCTTTTGTCTCACTCCCTCAGAGTCTCTTCTTCTTGCCTTTCCATCAGCCCTGGCTCTCTGAGCCTCAGTTTCCTCCTCTGTAAAATGAGGATAATGAAAGCATTTACTACACTAGGGTGTTGTGGGAATTCCATAAAGCCCTAGCGTATTGTCTGTGTGCACTAATCTATATGACAGACAATAGTAGCTTGGACCAAAGTGGTAGCCATGGAAGTAGCAAGAAGTCAGGCCTCAGATTGTCATCAGCCCCCACACCTGTAATACCCCCCTATTCCCCTAAGCCCTTGGATAAGTGACAAACTAATCCATCTGCTCTTAAAAGCCCAGCTCAGATCTGAGCCTGGGAAGAAATAATCTTCCTTCTTTACCCTGCCAGAGTTCTCTGTTTGTGCTACTCTTACAGTGCAGCACAGAGTTGATTCACTGAGCATTCCTGGAGAGCTTACTATGTGCTGAGCTGTATTCAGAGCACTTTACAAGTAATAACTCATTTAATCCTCACAAAATCCCCTATGAGGTCAGTACCATTACCCCTTCACAGGTGTGGATCAGAGAGGTCAAGAGATTTGCCCAAGGTCACACAGGAAGTGACAAAGCAAGGATTTGAATCCAATTTGGCGCCAAGTTCATGCTTTTATTTACTCAGTATGCTGCTTCTCCATTAGCAGAGTGGTGATGATGATGATAATAAGACTCAAGCTGGTGTTTACTGAGTGCTCACTCTGTGCCAGGTGCTCTGCCGAGCACTGGACGTAGGTTAATGGTTGAACCACACCACATCCATGTTGCTATCACACGTGGGTTTGCATCTAAGCATCTAAGCCCTGGCACTCTGGCCCTTGACCCTGGCACTGGACCATTTGGCAGGAGCACATGCTCTCAGCCACTCATTCTCCCAGGGCTCAGTGACTATTGAATTGACTTCCCGTGGAATGGAGTTGGAGTCTCTCTAGCATCGCTCTGCTGCACCCTTTAACCCAGAGCATTAGTTTGCTAGGGCTGCCATAGCAAAATACCACTTAAACAACAGAAATTTATTTCTCACAGTTCTAGAAGCCAGAAGGCCCCAAGATCAAGGGCTTGACAGGGTTCCTTCTGAGGCCTCTCTCCTTGGTTTGCAGATGGCCATCTTCTCCCTGTATCTTCACATAGTCTTTCCTTTGGGAGTGGCTATGTCCTCATCTCTTCTCATGAGGCACCAGTCCCACTGGGTGAGGCCCACCCACAGGACCTCATTTTACCTTAGTTACTCTTTTTTTTTTTTTTTAAGATTTTATTGGGGAATTGGGGAGGCAACAGCGTTGGGGAATCGGGGAAGGGGAACAGACAAGTTGCTGTCCTTTTGTTCTTCTGTCTAGTTGTGGAGGACGTCGCTTCACTGGCCCATGTTGGTATTAT